CCCCCCCCGCCCCCCCTAAATCCGCGCCTGCATTCTAACCGAAATACAAGATGTCACCTTCAGAGCATACAGTTAAGGATGTATACATAGGCCTAGTATGTATTAACAAATCCAAAAGCAATTCGATATATCCAAGACAGCATACTATAGTATATAAAATATATTAAAATCAAGGACCGTAAATCTTGTGAAAATTAGGAAAGGGGTCAAAATTGGCCCCTCCTTTGATACCTTTTGGTGAGGTGTAGACCTAAACCTTCTCTCAACAGAAACACCAATTCAAATTCAAATGAGCGCTTGATTCGTTCTCCGTCGAAGCATAAACCTGAAAAAGTCGGATTTGTTTTCCAAAAGACGAATATTGTCAAACTAACAATGCTCTAAAGCATCATTTATGACGCAACCAAAACTAGGGATCCTATGCATCAGTATATATATAAAATTCCTTGCTATGGTGAGTTATCAGATATTTACAGACAAATCACCAGCCAGAAGCCATCTCAAGTAATGCTATTTTCCAGACAAAAAAGTGTTCTACTTATAACTTTTGTATACCAAAAATATTTCGATAATATATGGACTAGGTCCTGAACTACCAGTGACAAAAAGATTAATCCAAAATATGCGGTGGAACATATTCAAAGAAGAGATCAAATGAGCACACGGTCAATACACCAGAATTCATGGCTATGTGTATTGTCTCATCCATCCTCGATATCCAGGGGTTACGCTCACTTTCGCTCTCTACACCCCTGGAATACATGTATTGAAGGCTCGGTGTGCGCCACCTTGTTGATTAGACCAGAAGACTAGTTCGATCCTTTGATGTACATCAAAAGAATCTTGCGGTCACGTAACGGTAAAAACTGACACGCTTTGAAGTCGGGCGTCTCTCCTTTGTAATCTTCAAAGGACAAGTATCAGCCTAGCGATTGGTCAGGTTTTGTTTGCCTGAGACCAATCAAACAGCTATCTTCGTGCCTTCAATTTTGTTATGAAATATTCCAGGGGTGTAGAGAGCGAAAGTGAGCGTAACCGCTGGATACCGAGGATATGACTGAAAACTGACAGAAAAGAAGAAAATATTTGTTCCAGTTTGGACGGAATGAATATGTAATCAGAATATGTAATAGAAGATGTTCAGTAAAGGTTCGTTGGCTTATTCCTTTTCAAGATAGCCCCCGAAACATTCATTCTATTGCCTAATCAGTTAACAGATTCTCAGACAACTTTCTTGCAATACCAATGGAATTCAGAGATTGTGTTTGTATGCTACTTTGTTTATATATATTTATTAAAGTTAGACGCCCTATTAACAGCTGATGACATTTACAGATATTTTTTTTGTAACAATCAAAATCGTTACGTCGTCAACAAGTCGTGTTCAAAAAGTTTCAGCGTGTCACTCACTGTATCTGGCTCGTCGATTGGTTGATAGAACGTTTGAGGTCGGTGTCGTCCTTGTAATCAAAAGCAGTGTACAACATTGTATCGTTTTCGGAGACTTGTTGATTGCGCGCTTTGTCAACTTACGATTACGCGTACACGTATATTGAAATGTAAAATGTACATTGCATGTACATGTTTCAAGCCATGTCTCATGACTTGAATGTTTTGTTTGTTATGTACTTATCCACATTTTCGTGAACTATAATGGTATTTATGATTACAAGAGAGCAAAATGAAGAACATTACAAATGCTTGAAAGCTGCCCATACCGGCCTCTGCACTAAAAGGTAATATCATAGAACGGTGCAAGATTCGACAACTCATTCAGTTAAATAACTTTCATACCTGCTTAAGTATATTTGTAAATTATATAATAACAATGATGTGCACGAAAACGATAACATTTTATTTTATAATAAGTAAGTGTGCAATCGGCCCAAGAAACTGTCATTCAATGCAAAGAAGTACTTTTATGTATACAGTTTTATTTGAGAATATTGTCATGACAATTAAACTGTATTAAGCTTGAACAATTTAAAGGTAAGAATAATTACGAAAACAAGACTTTCCTGATTTACGTACCGTGCGACGCTATTTATTTGGGTATCATTTTCAAAAGTCTATTTTATCAAAACTAATGAGAGTTTGGAGAAGAAATTTAATCAAAACCCTGTTGACTCTAACATATTTCAACTATGCATATTTTCTGCCGATATTGATCGTTTATACCCAAATATTCGCCAAAATACCGGAAGTGTGCTTTCCAGGGTAGAGTAACGCCGGTTCAACGGCCTACGTAACTCTGATGGTATTTCGCGTTCTTTTTATAGAACCACGCGCCCTAAATATCAAATTGTGATAAAAATGTAAAGTGGATAGTATCTTTTTAAGTAAAATGAACAAACATTTTTGGAACTGATAGTATATAGTATTGTATAAAGAACATTGCTATTTAACTAAAAAGTGTCCCGATTTGGGTACAGTGACGTTAGATAACCTGTGTGCCGATAGTAAATTGTGTACCCACGAAAAGCAGCTGCAGTGTTACTCTCGATGGAGCGTATCCATGGAGATAATTCCCCGGAAAATTATACCAAATTGTTTTCGTTTTTA